AGATGCCTGGGAGGTCTGGGGAGAAAGCGTGGGGCTTTTTTTTAATCCCCCCCCTCCCCGCCGCCGCTTTTGCCTTCAAGTTTTCGTTTGCTAAAGACAAAATACAGATGGGCAGGAAGGGCTGGGAGCGACGGACGCTCCCTCTGCCAGCGTCTGCAGCCCGCCGCGGAGCCCGGTGCCCTCCCGCGCTGGGCAGGGGATTTGGGGATCCCACGCCACACGCGGGAGAGACTGGGGAGAATTTGGAGAGGAAACCTCCAAACGCGCCAGGTCGAAGCTTCCTGCTCAACAGCATTTAGAGGATAATTCTTTGCTTTCTTCCTAGATGCTTTTGGGCAAGTCACTAAACAAGGATTTAAAATAGGTCTGGGTGGACCTTGGTGGCTTTTCTGTTTTACGTGAGATCGGCCGTGCTTCGCTTTTTCTCAAACACGGGACAAGCGCTTTGGAAAGTCGCTTTGGTTCTGCCATTTCGCCGCCGTTGCCCTGGCCCTCGCCTCCTCGGGGCGTTGGAAGAAGGGAGGCAAGAAGGGTTTTGGGGTGCAGGGACATCCCTGCAACTGGGCTGCGGCAGCGCCCAGTGACACCAAGCGCCCCTTGCCCGCAGCTCGGGTCTCGGTACAGCGAAGACGCTGCTCAGGTGGCCCCGGCTGCAGCAGTGCCCCTCACGTTGGGCACGGGGGCATCGCTCCTGCTTGCCACCCATCCCGTGGGCGCGGCGAGGGGCAGAGGCACAGGCCAGCTTCCTTCCAACGTTTCTTCTCATCTACAGATGAGAAAAGTCAGCGAGGTCCAAAGCGAAGCAGAGTTCAGAGGCGTTAGTGGGAACAGCAGAGCTGCCTACGCAAAGTTAATTACAAAAATTCTCTAAGACAAAGTCAAAAAGGTTACCATTTGGAAACTCAAAAGCAACAACGTTTTGCCATCAAGAGCATAGCAGTAGCTTTGGGTCTGGGACCAAAGCCTTGAACAGAGAAGTGGAAAGTCCAGAGGCTGTTAACACGTGGTCGCAGGGCTCCACGCATCGTCCCTCGGCTCTGTCCTCAACACCCTGCCAACAGTGCCGCCAGCAGCGCCGGTGCCGGGCCGCACACTGGTTCGTGACTGAAAGAAACCTGAATTGGAGTTTACCGAGGTAGTTGGCTAGAAACTGAGATTCCCCCACCTGGCATTTTCTCGAAGGCCCAAGCATCCCTCGCCCCCCACCCCGCGCCTCCTCACGTGCCAGGTGTCCAGCTGTCCTGCAGGTCACTGCCACCGCCTCCAGAAACAAAGCCTTCTCAAAGAAAAGGGAATGCGCAGCCCTTTTAAGTCTTCAAAAACACCAAGTTATTGCACTTCAAAAATACAACAGGTTTGTGGTTCGAGCCCTCCCCACCCTCCCCATGGCTTCTGCTCAACTAAAACGATTCACTACGCACAATTTCTACGTTACCTTCGGATTAGGTTAAAAGATTCAAAACGTGTCTCTTTACATGAGGTGCAGAGCTGCTGGAGCTCCTATCTAGAACAGTGCGATTCCAACCGTACATCTCTTCCCTTCCACCCCGTGCCCCCCAATCCCCACCCCTAAAAATCCCCTCTATGCTTGCTGGGTTATACAAACCTCCCTCACCCCCCCACCCCACTTTTTCCCCTCCCCGGACTCACACGTCCAGCAAAAACTTTAGATTAATTAAGGAATGGTTATTTAACAAGACAATAAAAATGCACACAGCTTTGGAGATGCACGGGAGTTAGATGTCCTGTAGATCTGCAGGTGAACTCCACCGATTCAAACCGTCCTGGTGAAGGGCAGCAGAGACCAGCGAGCCGTGGGTTCTGACCGCCTGGCTTAAGACACTTTCCTTACTTCAGACTCCAGTTCAGGGTCAGGCTTTGAGTGGGGTAGTTTTCCAACCAAGAAGCAGCTCAATGGTTTTTGTTTGTTTGTTTGTGTTTTGTTTGCTTTTTTCTTTTTCTCTTGTTTTAATGATTAATTTGGAATAGGAAAGTCAAAGGAGATCAGGGAGGAAGGGAGATGAGGTGGGAGAGGACGTTCTCCCCCTCCTCCAGTTTAATAAGCACCAGAGTATTCAAGTCTGTCCATTCTGAGATTCAGAGCTGCTTCCGCAGTCAGCAGGCAGAAACTAAACCTTTCTCGTAAGAGCAGCGTCGTTTTGGTTGGGGTCCCTCATCATCGTCATCTTCCTCCTCATCTTCCTCCTCCTCTTCCTCCGATGATGAGCTGTCCAGTGTTAAATCCACAACGTCAGCAGTGGGCTTGCCGTTCTCACCGTTACCGTTAGGAGTGGGCAACAGCCCGTTCACATCTGAAGAACCTGAAAGAGGTGGGGAAAGAGAGAGGATTAATTAAGACCCTTCATGCCCAGTTGAGGGGATGCTCCAACGCTCTCGGTCTCTCATGGCTCTGCGGTACTTAGACTAGAATATTTCGGGGAAGGGACCCCTACACCGATCATCTAGTCCAACTGCCTGACCGCTCTCCAGGGCTGACCAAAAGTTAAAGCATGTTCTTAAGGGCACTGTCCAAATGCCTCGTTGACACTGACAGGCTTGGGGCATCGACCGCCTCTCCGGGAAGCCTGTTCCAGGGTTTGACCACCCTCTCGGTAAAGAAATGCTTCCTAACGTCGAGTCTCAAAGGCACAGGGGTGCATGGAACAAACTCCACTTAAGCAGCTGCCTAAAAAAAAGAGCCGATGCCACAAACCTGACGCTCTCTCTGGGGTCGGAACTTGCTACAGTGCCCAGCGGCACCTGCACCACCCGCTTGGAAGGCATCTGCCTGAGAACCGGGAACCGGCTCAGCCGAAGCAAGAAGCTACACAAAAACACCTGCCAACCCTGTCAGTAGACATCACCGCTGCTAGAGGACCCGGCCTCGTGCGGGCTGCCCCAGACAGCCAGCCCTTCTACTCAAAATCTTCTTTTCCCCACAAAAGAAGTACAGCGCTGTTGCGGGCTGGCCTTGCCGATGACGTTCCAGGGGCTGTTGCAGAGGCGCATACACCGACAAACTCGTTCAACGCCATACTGGCAACAACCCAGCTTTGCTGAATAGCCCCGTTTGGGCTGGGCCCTCCTCCGCAGGGATGCGATGCGATGCACCCTGGCGATGCTGTTCGTTTCTGGAGAGGCTGAAAACGAAGGGGCTATCCAGAGGAAGCTCTCCGAGAGCCAAGCTCGCGTTAAGGGATCACACAGCTTTTCCCAAGCCAGCTGGGGAACTCTAGTTCTGCAATTTGTGCACACTTCCTACAGTAACTTAAAGTCTTTAGCCCCAGAGATACTCACCTAGAACTAATATTGGACACTGAGGGCTGCAGCTCCGCTCTTTCTCAGCTCTGATGGGACACCAGGAGCCATCCACCAGGTACTCTATTTCATCTGCATCTTCACATTCTGTCAGGATCTTTGACAGGAGCCTGGACAGGAGAAAAGATGCCATCTATTAAGCTCGAGGCAATCGGCAGAATGCATTTAGTGATGGGCCATCAACCTGGATCTTCACCTTAAAGAGCCCTAAATTTAAAAGAAATTTGGTGTTAGCAGAAGGCTGCCAAACAGATAGCCCGTGCCGTCAAGGGCTTGTTTTATTTCCCATAAACCAAGTACAGGTTCTGACAGTGCAAACCATCCCAGTCCTTTCTGACAACGTACCTAAACCATGAACTAACATTTTAATTATGTGCAATTAGAAGACAGTCTTGCCTCTTCACCCAGTTTCCCAAGCCTGTGGGACCGCTTCCAGACAGACGCCCGATGCCCCATCTAGAGCTATGTCAGGGCTGGTGCAGGTACATTCACACCAAGGCATTAGCAAAAGACAAAATATCCTGTGACATTAGGAAATAAGCAATCCAACAAGCAGCACTTCACTTCCTTCCTATTTTTATTTCCCAAAGCCTCCACAGCAGCCACCAAAACAATATATGCAGCCTCCTGCAACAGACCCCCACCCCCCGCCCACGTTCACCACTGAAAATACACCCAGTGTAGATACCTCGATGTCAGCCACCTCCCGCTGCAGAGACACTAACCAGAATGAGGCCCTTACTCTGGCTCACTGTGCCTCAGAAACCGGGTACGTGCTTTATTCTGGTATGTCCCACCATTCTGATGTTTATTTGGACACACTGTTGGAAACACCGTTCTCCAAGGCCTTATTCGCTCCTGGATGCGAACGTTTCCCTTCAGTACAAAGGAGAGCCAATAGCAAAATCTTACAAGCTCAAGAAAACTATCTGTGGCACGCTAGCGGGAGAAAGTTTCTGCTTTCTCCCAGCTCGAGTAGGAAACGCGTTTCCACAGACGGTCCTGTCATCCAGCAGAGCAACCACCAAGGCTGCAATTCCAAAAAAGCTGACAAGGCCCAGAGGATCTTAGACTTGACCAACCACCTACCTCCTCAGGAGCCTACGCCCCTTTTTTGACTAACATCACCCAGCTGTGACTGCCAGGTTCCCTCTAGCTTACTTTCGGGGAGGTCTGAAGACTACTTTCATCCAACGGAACCAGCACTGAAACCCAGCCTTGAGCACTGCAGAGCAGGGACAAAGAAATCTGCTGAGCCTTCACCAGTGACGACCTCCTCCTCGTCCAGGAGGGACACGTGCACTGCTGACCTGTGGAGGTTCCACAATCCAACCCCTCGTACCTTCCCCTTCGGTCTCAGCGGCCTTGTTAGAGATCTCAAAGGAACTGGATTTTCCTGTCGGTGTTGGCCGGAGGACAAAGCAAACAGGTTATCTATGCCTAGGCTGCTTCAGACTGCCTAAAAAGCCACAACTCCTGGATCAAATCAGTACCTACAAACACAGCAACGCTCGGAATATCATCAGCCTGGCCCTGGGAATATACCACCCAGGCTGAGACTCATCTGCTCGCTTCACTGCCTTGTGTGCCAAGGGAGCTGGATGCACCTTGCAACAATTTCTCTCTAAACTCTCCCTACTTTTGAGGGAATCTGCGTTAGAGACCAATTATACAAGCCATGAGGGTGGAGATCATTTTCCAGAAGCCAAGAACCATGCATCTTGCTCCACCAGTCCTCAGGGTTGCTCTCAGCTTGGCTAGCACCACTACGGAAGTCAGTGGTCCCAGCCCACAAAACAGGCTCCCTGCGTTCTGAGGCAACAAAGCTTCATCTGGGGGGTGGGTGGAGATCACTGTTCGCATTAATTCACTCCTTGTTCCTTCCTTTACTCCTGGAAAAAAGCCAGGCAATTTATTGTGCTCTTCTCTAGAGATAGCCTCTGGAACCCGTATTTCTGGAGCTGACAAGCATCGTCGCCAGCTTTCTGGCTTGCCTCAGGTGGCCCCTGCTGTCAGCCTAGCTCGTTCTGCAGTTTGCATATAGGACTCCATCTGCCAGGTCTGCAACGGGGAGAGGGAGATCTCCTGGTTTTTTAGAGTAATACTCTTGGCACGCAGCTGCATTTTTGAGCTTTCCAGTATCAAACCTCACTCAGACATACGAGCATCACCTCCGAAGTGTTCCTGTACTGCTGAACTGCAGCACTCCAGCTCTCCTGGCTCATGGTGAGCCCTCTGCTCTTCTCTTTGGTAAAAAGACAGAGCAAACTAACTCTAGTCCAGAGATACGGGAAACACCATTCCCATATGGACTGAAAACCAGATGACAAGTTGAGTGCCAAGTCTAAAGCAACCTTTCCCCACTTCATGGTCGGAGAACTCTTGGCAGGGCTCGGGGCATGCATTTCTTGCCTCACTCTTTTCCAAATGCTGCTTGGAATTTACTTTGCTTTAATTCCCTCCTGTGCTTTTACAGCACTACTCCAACTATGCCACATTCAAAACGAGACAGTAGAAAGAGAACATCCCTCATGCAGAAGAGACAGGGGCTGCCTCGCTGGGAACGCTGAGAATGGGGATGCTGGTGTGGCTCTGTCCTTCTGGCCCGCTACGGGGCAGGCAGCAGCCCCAGGACGGCAGCCAGACCCAAATGCACGGCTGGGGCAAAACTTCACGGTCTGCCCTTCACAAACCCACTCTAAAAGTGCTGTACCAAAAGTCGGTTCCCTCCCAGCGTACCCCATTTGCCTGACAAGCGCACCGGTGTCCCCTCCCGCACCGAGGGGGCTGGTGACCCCCAGCAGGGAGCCCCCGGGGCCCCCTGAGCACCCCAAGGTCCTGCTGCACAGGCTCAGCCGGCTGGCAGGGACCAACCACCACTGGGTGTCCCCAGAGGAACCAGGGCGGGAGGCCCAGGGGGCCGGGGTAGACCCACCAAACCTCCAGCCTGGACAATATATCCAAAGCATTTTAATTCTGTCCCCCCAGTGGATTTGAACCTCCTGCTTTTTTCCCCCCTACAGACATGCAAAACACAGAAATAGTCCCTCCTGAGGCATCCTTCCCATCCCTGATACTAAGATATCCACATTGGCCGCAGAAACTGTACTGGAACAGTCACACAGACTGTACAAAAATCTTTCCAAATACTGCATTTGTACCTCTATCTCGGGGGCTATATGTCACACAACGTTCGGTTTAGGAGCTGGCAGAGAAGATCCCCCAATCAAATTTACAGCGTGCCAAGAATTGCTTGTGAGCTGAGGAGCACCTCACACCAACAAGAAAACGGGAAGATGTTTCCTATCAAAAATCACCTTATCGGGTGCTTATAAAGTGGTTTATTCCACGCAGCATGTGTCCTGGTTTCAGCTGAGACAGAGTTATTTTTCTTCCTAGTAGCTGGTACAGTGCTGTGTTTTGGATTTAGGGTGAGAACAATGTTGATAACACACCGATGTTTTAGTTGTTGCTAGGTAGTTACACTAGTCGTCAAGGACTTTTCAGCTTCCCATGCTCTACCGACTGAGAAGGCTGGAGGTGCACAAGAGGCGGGGAGGGGGCACAGCCAGGACAGCTGACCCAAACTGGCCAAAGGGACATTCCATACCATGTGACGTCATGCTCAGTATATAAA